GTGCTAACATCTCCCAGCTCACTGGTGTTAATCATTGGTATTGGTATATTGTAGAATGAAGGAGAATAATTGAGAGCATGGAACAACACTCATCTGGAGTGGAAATGTGGAAGGAAATAGGGCTCAGTGCAATGAAATTGAAATATCTTGTCAGAGCAATACAGATAGCAGTGCTAAAAAGGCATCTGGCTAGATTCCCTCTCTGACAGGTTTCTCAGACACTCAAAGATATGGTATGACATGATGTCACATATGCCATGCTGCTATGCCATGTAATATGTGGGCCCTTGGTAGCCACTGGGATTTGGCTCCAGAACCCCTGTGGATACCAAAATTTGTGGCTAGTCAAATCCCATAATATACAATGGTGTAGCAAAATGTCCCTTGTATAAAACCAAGGTTTGCCTTTTGGAATTTTTTGGGAGGAAATAATATTTTCAAGCCATAGATGACTGAATCCACAATGTAGAATCTGTGGATATAGCAGTTGATTGTAAAAGAATTCCTTATAAAAATTTAGATGAGTTTTCAGTTAATGTAGTCCTATAATTGTCTTAATAATGATCCAAAACACACTGCAGTAATAATCCAGTTTGAGACGGCTTTATGTGCCCTGGCTCAGTAATAGGGAATCCTGGGAATTGTAGTTTATTGTGGCACAAGAGTTCTCTGAAAACTACACAAAACTACAGTTCTCAGAATTCCCTAGCATTGAGCCAGGGCAGTTAAAGTAGTCTCCAAACTGGATTATTACAGAAATCTATCTCTTAGGGGAACTTTTTATTATGTATCTCAGAGTCTTTAAAAAGGTTTAATCACATAAAAACCAACATTTAACATTTTTAAAATAGCAGGTGGAATCTTTAGGAGGTTGTGGGTACCGCTCCACATATTTTTATTTATTTCTTTGCAGACTGTTTATTTTCTATAAATCAATACTTTGTGATAAGGAGTGTACAATTTTGTTTCAAGCATCTGGGAAGTGGTTGAGTTCAACCAGCACTGAGGAGCTACAAGACTGCTATTGCTATTGTATATTGTATGGATCACTGAAGCTTTGCATCATTTGAGTTTTGATGAATATCTCAAGAAAGGAGTCAAGTGGCCAGCTATCTACAGAGCTTATGTAAGTTTAGGGCTGGAATCCTACATACATAAATTATAGGTAAAATCTGCTCCAGTCAGCATGCAAGGCTTATTTCTAAATAAAAATGCATAGGATTGTGTTGGAGATTGCTCAAATAATTTTTAGATTCTGATTCCTGCATCCATATGATCTGAACTACCCCTTTTCATTTATTTAGTAATAAGAACCACATGGTTATTTCAAAGATGTACCATATATTTCAATGGAAGTATTACATGTACCCAATATAGTTTTGATTTGTTATTCTGGTCCCAAGATCCACATACATGTGCTTAAGCAATGCATAGTCAGTGTGAATAAGGTACCCCTGCTATGTTAGAGAAGAGACTCCATCAATGTTTGCATTTGGGCCCTGAGATAATTGTGGCTTTTTAAGCCACAATGTGTAAATTATTATACAGTACTAAATATCACACTAAACTACAAATCCCAGAATTCCATAGCATTGAGCAGTTAAAGTGGTGTCGAATTGAATTAATTCTGGAGTGTAATGTGCAGCCTAAGTGAGATCTGTGGTTTTTCTGTCTAGACATTTTGAAAGCGATAACCTATTGTATGTTTCTTAGTGTTTAGCTGCTTACGCACTAGTAGTTACTAAAAAAGATTAAAAGATCTTGTTTTCTGGATTTAAGAGTCCATTTAAAATGCCTTCAATGTATCTATTTGAGTTAGAATGTTAAACTACTTGTTAGAATTTCCAGTTATCATGGTGTTTAGATATTGTCCTATTTCTGTCTATGTACAAATTAGGGACGTTATCACACTGGGGTCTCAAAGCGGCAAGAAAACGGCAAGAAA